TATTGGTAAATACACAAAAATATAAATGACCAACATCATTATAATTTATTATAATAAACAATCACTTTCCAACAATAAGCTGTATGTGTATAGTAAAATCACAAACTTAAAATTAAACAAAAGTTGCTCAAAAATACATTAGACTATTTATCACTGTCTCTTGTGAAACTCCTAGTGACCTGTTGTGGAACCCTAGGGTTCTGCAGAACATTGGTTGAGACACACTGACTTAAAGTAATGTAAAATTTCTGAGATAGCTGTCATCATAAGAATATTTAGAGACTGAATTGCAATAAATTCTCCCAGCTATACTGAATGTCATATTTTCTGAAAACAGCCATTTTTTGGACCATCTATTTCATGTAGCTCCCATACTGAATAGTTCTGGTAAAGGTGGCTTTTATTCACAGTGAAGAAAGATTTTGTTCCTTTAGAGAGAGATGATGATGATGATGATGATGATGATGATGTTTGGCTTGCAGACAATCTGTCTCAACTAGTACAGGTTTCCATATTGTCACTTGAAGCCACTGCCACAGGTTTGTTTAGTTTGTTTTACAGCATATCAACCTCAGTGTGTTATTTAATGCTGAAGATTTTTTTATCACTGGTCATATTTTTTTTTCTCAAAAATATATAGTTGGTAAACTAAAACAAAGTCATTTATTTTACCTTGTTGTACAAGTAGTTACATGCAATATAATGGTTATTAGCGAATCAAGTTCAAATTTTGGCCTCGTCTGTGGCATTCCCTTTTATACAATTGTCTTTTGAAAAGGCATGAATCTATCTATTCTTCCCTCCAGCTATGGGTTAATTAGCAAGGCATATTGAACTTTCTAGCCATGGTTTACAGCCAGTTTAGGTGAATAACAATTCTAATTGGTTTGGTTTGATTTGTCTTACAGAATATCAACTTCAATGGCTTATTTAATGCCAACAAGATTTTTTATTGCTGGTAATATTTTTGGTTAATTTGCAGTGTACGACCCACCCTCTGTTTCTATTAAAAATTTCCCAAATTCTTACATATTTATGTGTAAATGTTTAATTCAAAAATAGCAATGAAAATTTGATAAAATCTACTGCTTGGGACTTATCGACAGTAAAAGTTTGATCTCATTCACATCACAGCAGCCATTACTGGCACTGTTTGTATACATTTGCTTTCAAATAGATATTCACTTGTCTTAATTATTGCACATGCAATGAGTCCTCAGTTTCGCAGTAATTGAGACAAGTAAGATAAGTCAAAAGGCCACTAACTAGGTAATCTTCCACATATGTCTATTCAGCAGAAAATGTATGCAAACAACGCCAGCAATGGCTGCTGTGTCGTAGCCGCCAACAACGCGAATGAGTTCAAACTTTTAATGTCAGTAAGTCACAAACAGTAGATATTATCAAATTTTCATTTTCGAAAAGCATTTCTGGCAATATTTTTTTCTCAAAAATGAATTGCTGGTAATATTTCCTTTTCCAAAAATGTATTGCTGGTAATATTTCCTTTTCCAAAAATGTATTGCTGGTAATATTTTTTTTCCAAAATGTATTGCTGGCAATATTTTTTCTAAAAATGTATTGCTGGTAATAATATTTTTCTTCAAAAATTTATTGCTAATAATTTTTTACAAAAATGTATTGCTGGTATTAAAACCTATTTTTTGACCCCAGTTTGAGGGTTAACTGTTTGTCCATAGCTGGGACCCTAACAGGTGCTACCAACCCTGAGTCAGGGTGGACCAGGAAACACCAGCAATTAAAAGGTGGTTCCACGCTCCTCAAAACCTCCTGATTAGAGGCCTTGCTGCTGGACGTAGTTTATCGTCTTACCCAGGACGCCGATGTAGTTTATCATCATACCCAGGACAAAGTTTCTTCAGGATGCAGAATTTCATTCTGCAGCAGTGAAAAAGAGAACCATGTCTTATCTTGAAAATAGAATTCTTATTATTTGTGCTATTGAAAATGAAAATGAAAATTGAAATCAGGTTGGCTTTAGTAGATCTTGAAATATGGTAAGTGTTTTCACTACCAGTCTTGACCAATAACAAACTTTCTTACTCCAATAAAAGGACACTATTTTAAGTGGCAGACAAGTCTCTTGGCTCTTCATGGGTGAAGAAAGTAGTTGTGCATTGTAAGTTGCAGATAGGGATTTTTTTTTTTGACTTTTTGCTTTATCCGACTCTGCTGACAATTTCTGATGGACTTGCAAAACTGATTTATATAACGCTTAGAATTTTCACCATGGACTCAGGATTTTGGGATTTGAATTTCCCTATTACTATTTTAAAGATTCTGAACTCTTTTCAGCTGGTTCTTTAGATCTTGCTTTATCAAAGACAGTTACAAGATCAAGTATTTGGTTCTGAAGCAGCTGCAGATAGATCAGATTCATTCTTAGACCACTTATAAAAGATTCACATATTGCCTCTTCATAATTTTCAGCACTGACAGCCTGGTAATTACAATTTCCACTCTGATGCTTTTGTGCCAGTAGATATTCATCTAATGTCTCCCCCAACTGTTGCTGGTGGGCAGCTAACCTTGCATACACATCATTAGTCAGCTTTCCATCCAAGTTTTGCAAAGAATGTACCACATCCTCCTAAATTTCCCAATCAGTAATTGGCTCATTCATGGAAAGAGTGATGTCCTAAATAAGCAGATTCAGTTCCTCTAAAGAGTATTACTCAATATATATTTTTTTAAATGCCTTGTCCGTTCAAGAAGAAGACAATCCTGACTCTCTACAGCTCTCTTTTTTTTATTGTTTGGAAATTGTCATGCATTCTAGGGAAAATGAAATAGTTTCTCAATACCTTCTCCACAGTTTGGAATGCATAGTTTTCCTTCTTCTAGACTGGCTGCCAACCAAGTCTGGATATCCCAGTTTAACATGTTATTTAACACATACCTGAGAGAGAGAAAAGACGGCTTCATGTTTTTCCCAAAGGCATGAGTGCGAGAGTGAACGCAACAGCCCAGAATTTTAACTTAGCCTGCCAATTCTAATTTCTGCATTGATATCTGTTTAATCTACTCACATAAGTCAAAGAAAATTGTTTAGTATCACATACCAATCCCTCAGAACCTAAATTAGGGCTGGCTTCAAAACTTTCAGGTCACAGGGACTGATCCATAGTTCAATTGTTTGTCCATATATGAATGAATTTTTGTAGAACCCAGATTGCTTAGATTTTATTCAATAACAAATATATTACCACACATGAGAGCAACCTTTGCAGCCTTTCTGTAAGAATGCCAGGTCAAGACCAGTAATATTACAGATCCCTCTTTGAATTTTGTCAAAAATCTCAAGATATATAACAGCAATATTCAATGCACAGATGAATGGTAGATTTATAAATGTGCAAAACGGGTGCTGCTTAGAAAAATTGTCTGATCAAAACAGTAAATCGACCTTCTTAAAACAATTTTTCAGGAAATTACTGTTGATGAGTCCACTGTTGTTGCTCTTTCGAAACTTGATAGGGTTTCCTTCTAAACTTTTTGTTTTTGGTTGGATAGATACTAATATACCATTTATGTAATATTTACTTTCAACATCAATTTGCTCTGTATATATCTCAAAAGCCTGACAAAATATATTATATACAGTCTTAATATGCTAATTAATATTTACCTTGAACCTAAATATGTTGTGTACATATATGAAAAATTAAACTAAATATTCTACATGTAAAAGTTTATATATATATATATATATATATATATATATATATATATATATATATAAGTAGAATATTTTCATTCAAACAGATTTGGTGACCTAATTTAGACATTATATCTATTTATTTTGGTTTCAATCCGTTCAAGTCCACAGATTAATTTCTTGGTAACCGTGGAAAACTGATTATGAAAAATTATAATAAAATTTTCTTGAAAGAAAATTTTGGTATTTTTCTTAGTCAATTATCCAAGCTACCAAGAAATTAATCTGTGGACTTGAAAGGATTGAAACCAAAATAAATAGATATAATGTCTAAATTAGGTCACCAAATCTGTTTGAATATATACATAAGTATTGACGTAGATAAATATTCCAAGAGGATAGAATCCAGGTAGAACTCAATGTCCAGGACAGAGTAAGGATATAATAAAAAGGCTTAAACACTAATATTCCATATATATATATACACCTAGATTCAAGGTGCAACTTAAGTTTTGTTGTTCTATCAACTCACCAGAAAATGTATTACAAATTAATTACTAATCAAATAAACATTGTTTACTAATCAAAAGTAATATTTGGTACATGGTGAGTTGGTAGAACAACAAAACTTACGTTGCACTTTGAACGTAGGTATATGTATGTGTATGTGTGTGTGTGTGTATATATATATATATATATATATATATATATATATATGTTTTAATTATTACACCTCAAACAAGGTGATAAAGCCATGAAGTTCCAAGTGGTTACTGAAAGAGAAAGGAACTGAGAAAAAACATTATTAACAAGAGAGAACAATATAAAAATAAGATTCAAAAGATAGATGACAACTGACTTTGCATTTAAATTTTTGGTGAGCAACTTTTTTTGCAAAGCAAAAAGCCAGAAAAGAGTTCAACAAGCAAATAGAGCAGGAAAAGAAACTGTTAACATAGAACTTATATTTAGATCTATTAATTTTAACTATAAAATGATGAGACCTAGCTACCAATCTAGTACTGCTCTTAAATTTATAAAGCCAAGGTACCAAAGAGGAAAGCTCATTATTAAAATTTACATTCAATATACATAAATGTGCTATGTATCTATCTCAAAAACCTCATATGCTCAGACAATTTGAAATATAAGAGCATCATCATTTGCACATAAATGAATATAACAACCTCAACAGGAATTGGAACTCAACTCTCCAAGCTTATAGCACATGGTGAAGTGAATATAATGAACCCAACAGGAATTGGAACTTGGCTCTCTGATTAACAATTCCAATTACATTACACCACCTGCACATCCAAACTTACAGCACCAGGTATTCCCAAGCAGTCACTCATGTTACTGACCAGGCCCAATGTTGCTTAACTTTGGTGATTGTATGAGAACTGGTGTTTCAATGTAGTGTAGCTATAAGCCCGAAAGTAAAAAAGATGTTTGACTTTGAAAACTGTGAAGAAAAATGTCTGCTTTCTTACATTTGTTCCAAGCCTAAATACCTATTTGTTTTATTTCCATCTGATAACTAAGATGATCACCAATTCAAAACCAGTCTTTTATCAAATCATTTGTAGAGAATTGCTAAATGCAGATAAACTTAAAAAAAAAAAAATGAAATGCTAGTCAAAATAAATCAGTCTGTATGTTAGATTTTTTAAGCATCAGCTGATCACAAAATTGGTAAAAAAAATACCAAAAAGAAACTTTAAAAAGATTCCATGTGAATTAATTTCAAGTGACAATTTCAAAGTGATTGTGGAAAGTCTTTTTTTTTTTTTGCCTGTAAAGAAAAAATGAAAAATGTCAAATATTTTTATTCTTTGTTTTCCATCTTTGATTCCTGGCATTGTTCTTGAAGGAAATCTTCATAGACATGTATCTTTACACTTTCTTTTATTTTTAAATCCAGTGTGAATATTATAATCTAATATTATTAGCCTCTCTGCTTTTGTTGTTTAGCTCACTGTTTTTCTGGAGAAAAAAAAAATGACATCCACCTTGCTATGGGAAGCTAGTTTTTAGTTCTAGGTAAATCAGTATTGATTCTCTTAAATCAAGACCACATATATATTTTAAATACAGGTATTTTGAATAATTATTATGTAGTATAATTGTCCTTTTAGTTAATGATCATTCAAACAATTTACAATTGGAATAAATGTTTTTTGAATATTTGTTTTTGAACAATTTTCTCAATATGTTTTCATGCACACAGCAATCTTGGAAATTCTTTTCCATCCATACCAGTAGATGAACCTTAGAACTGTACTTAACAAGGAAAAAAAGCCATATTTATTACTAATAGTGTGTGTATATATATATATATATATATATATATACATATATATATATATATATATATAATATTGGTGGTAAATATACACATACATATGCAAAATATATAAATATATATACACATACATGCATACACATACATATATATTTTTTTGAATAAAAAAAATCCCAAGAGGATAGAATCCAGGTAGAGCTCAATGTCCAGGACAGAGTAAGGATATAATAAAAAGGCTTAAACACTAATATTCCATGGTTATAATTTATTACATTGGAATCGTAAATATGATCCAATTCATTGTAGGTCTGATGAATTGGATCGTATTTACGATTCCAATGGAATAGATTATGACCATGGAATATTAGTGTTTAAGCCTTTTTATTATATATATATTAATAAATATACACATTATGCTTCATTCATAGCACAATTTGGAGTGTCATGCACAACATGATCTTCAAGTGCTAAGTATATAGACTGATTGTTATGTAATTTAAATTTTAATAAAAATATCTGGTTACTGCAATGTTGGTACAGTTACATATTTTACTGGGATTACAGTTTTTTAATTTTAAGAAATATTTTTTGGCATTTAGAATAAACAGGATTTATATATACAGAAGGTTCTCTGGTTACATCAGACCTGATGAATTGTGTTTCATTCTTACGGCACCATCTCCCATAATATAATACATTGTCACATGGCACTATATGAAGAAGACAGTATTGTTTCTTCACTGGCTGCATGCCATATTAGATTGTGCTAAATTTGCTATCTCTTGTTTGTGTCATTTTTGGGGGGGAATTTTTTGCCCTTCATTATGGCTCCCAAGTATAAGGCAGACACATGGGTGCTTATGTAGGTGAGTTCCGACCTATGACAAAGATCAAGTTATGCCTCATGATAGGAACAGATCTCTGATATAAGTCAAGAACTCTCTCTATGTGTATTAAAAAAAAAAAAATTATTTTAGAGTTTTAGATATTAATGTTTTATATTAAGCATGGAGGGAGATTACTGGTTCTTTTCAAAGAAGATCCCATTGTGCATGAAACTCTGAGACATGCTATCAGTGAGGAATAATATGTATACTTATTAAAAAATGTATATATATATATATATATATATATATATATATATATATATATATATATATATTTAAATGGCTATCACTCCATGCAAGACAGTAATGCCAATAAGACACAAAGTGTTACAGGGTGTGGAAAAATTAGGCACAGAAACAAAGATGAGCAGAAAGGCAAGCAAGTAATCAGGAAGACAGTAGATAGTGACTGACATTGCATTTAAATTTTTCAGATGAAAGTTGGCTGGAAAGCAAGGAGCCGGAAGGGAGTTCCACAAGTAAGAAGTGCAAGAAAAGAAACTGTTAGCATAGAATTTACAGTTACATCTATCCAGTTCAACTGTAAATTGATGAGCTCTTGATGACATTCTACTACAGTGCTTAAATTCAGGTACCATAGCAAAGAGCGATATTTATTCTGTTCTCTACAGAAATGTGGCACATGGCCGAAAAGGGGATTGGGGAAAGGACAGTCTTCTTCTGTCTTAACTATAACTTAGCTAGCCACAAACACTGACCCAATCATACGAACAATATTCCAAAACAACATATTCATACACACCTTTCTTACTACAACCACCATAATACCTCTTTGTCTCTATGAAAATACTAACTAGTCCCCATATTTACAATTCATTGTCTGTGGGGGGAGGGGAATAAAACAACAAATCTAAAAAACTAGCCCCAATGAGTATTTACACTATGAATACAAAAACTATTTACAATAAACTAAAGAAAATAAGATTAGTAATAAAAAAAACACCACAATCACTAAATGTGACAGAAACATCACTTCACTGGCTGAAATCAATGCGGGATTATAATAGTATAAAACATTCATTCATCCCAAGCACTCACACTGACATGCACTCATTCAGACACAACAACAAATACGAAAAATACCACTCACGCGAAAACGAAAGGCACCCCGCATCCACCATGAACTGACATCACTGACCACCTAACGAGGGTGGGGATGGGCAATTAAACTTAAAGAAAAAAAAATGGGACAGAAATAAAAGGGGGCCAATGAGCATACATACCCTAGCTAAGTTAACCAAAGCAAAGAGCTCATCTAAACAATTACCATGAAAGTATTTATAGAAAAAACAGAGAGGTAACCTTATGGTGGTGGGAATGTCACTAGAGCCAGGCCACCAGATCAGGACCAATAATATTGCTGATTCTTCTTTTGATCTTATCAAGGATCTCAAGGAAAATAGCAGGTGCACCAAACCATATGTGCCAGCAATATACTAAGCAAGGATGAATGGTAGACTTATAGATATGTAAGATAGATTCCAGAGACAAAAATTATCTTGCACGACATAGTGAACTGACTTTCTTAGCAGCTGGCCTAGCAATTGATTCAATATAGTCTTTCTACTTCATATCAGCAGAGGATGTGAGACCAAGGTGCAACAAGTCCCTTTCCTGGAAGTTAGTCAGCAAGGGGACTCTCAGATGATTTATTAAGAAAAGTTTAGTTTTGGAGGCGTTAAAATTAACAAGCCATCTTCTACCCCAGTTAATGATGAACTGGAGGTTGTTTTGAACATTAGCAGTCATTTTAACTTTGTCAGACTGATAAGCCTTATTATCGAGGCAGGAGTAAATTGATGTATCATCAATGTAGATACCATGTTGAGATATATATATATATATATATATATATATATATATATATATATATATATATATATATATATATATATATATATTGGTCATTCTAGCTTTTGCAACAACGTTTTCCTCTTGCAAAGGATTGTTAATTAATTTGAAACTTTTAAAACCATTTATTTTACATTCAACATCATCACTTGATAAGACACCGGAGGTGTTGAAACAAAATGGCTATTTTTATAGTGATTTTATAACATATTTATGAAAATTGTCATCTGTAATGAGCTAATGGAATACAAAAGATATTTATTGCCAGCAACTTTATTGAGTTAAGTAAACATTATGTTGATATTTTCCAGGGGGACGATATAAGGGCACACTCTGCAAAAGAACCTCCCCCCCAAAAAAACAAAACATTTAAGATGGAAGATTCTTTTACATCCGCCATACTTTCCAGATTTAAAAAAGCATTTTCATTTCTTTTGATCACTAAACATCTTCATAAGAGACCAAACATTCAGAAACAAAAAAGAAGTTGAAAATATACAACTGAAAAAATTTGCCTTACAATTGGGTTGAATTACTGAAAATTCATGTAATTATATTTTTGAAAAATAATTTTTAAATAATAACTTGAACTTGTTTTTATATCCTTTCTATAAGAAGTAATTAGTTTTTAAGACACCCAAATGTGTGCATGCATTTGGTGTGTGAATGTAGAATAAAACTTTTCTAATATTAAAAACAAAGCAAAAACTGTTGTCATTGGAGAATCTGCTCAATTTTTGTTGAACAACTAATCTAAAGATATCAAAGGCCATTCAACCAATATTGGCGGCAAAGTTGATAAGTAACAAAGCATTTATTGATCAATGAGGAAGCAGATTTGAAACAAGAGAACAGTTTCACCTCATCTGTACTGCCTATGTCTAGGGATAACTCAACTCATCCCTATTTATAGTATGGTGTACAATATCCCTAGACAAAGAAAGTGGAATGAGAACTGTCTACCCCATAGATTAAATAAAGGGTTCTGTTCAGATTTTCCTGTAGGTTACCCAGATAAATATAAACCTGAGGAAGTCCAGAAGGCACAATGGCCAAAACATTGTGATAACAACAATAAAGATGAGGACAATAGAATGAACATAAATAATGTAAATAATACTTCACCTAATAATAGAATTCAAGATTACAATTAATACTACTAATGAAAATATAACAAGCAAAATTTAGATAAAAGAAATACTACTCAAAATAATTAATAATGGCTGACAATGCTTCAGCTAATAAGATGATATTAGTACTATGAATAATACTAGTGGATATTAGTACTATGAATAATACTAGTGGAAATAAAGCAGATGAAATGAAGAAGAAAGAATTACCAGTCAAAATTTAA